TGAATTGTAAATGTTAAAATATTTTTAAAATCTGTGGATTTTGCATAGAAATTTCCAAAAAGTTTGTAAATGACTCTTAGCGAGTACTTTGGCCGAGGACCTGGTCATAACTGCAAGGATCCCAGTGTAACAGCTGGTTGTTGAGGGTCCCCGGAAGCCTAGGAGATGGCCAGCCAACAAATCTGCCTCTGCCTACCTCCTCATCTTCACTGCAGAGACGCAAACTGCCCTGGGTATATTAGAAGTAGATTAAAAGTCAGCAAGACTAAAGAAAACAAATGCCTCACCTGAAATGTATAGCAGAGAGACTTCTTAGCAACACAAAGGCTTGGTGACAATTCTATGTTGACAATAATTCCCATTCAGCACGTAGAAATTGTGATTCTACTTACCTCATTTTGAACCTGAGCATCGCAGCACCATGAAAAAAAAACCCAAACCAGCATTTTTTAATCACAGGTAACAATCTAAGATTAAGCATGCTGTTAGGCAAATGCTTCCGATACTTGTTCTACTTAATCTCTTCGGCACATCTCACTTCTGAAGTGCTGAGAAAGAGGCATGAACTAACTTGAAATACTACCATTTTCAGCTGCTGGAATGATAACCATACACGCACTTATATTTACTTAAATGTTGTGATTTATGAGTTACATCAGTAAATGAAAGGCAGGAAAACATTTTTTTTGTTGTTCTTTCTCAATACTGTTGGAAAGATGCTGGTTGCTATTGAAGCTTATGTGTTTTGGGTTTGAATTTTTTGATTAGAAATCAAAGCCAGGCATACTGGGAGAATGATTATATTTCCATCTCTTATTGATTGGCAAATCTGCACATTAGCTTACATTAAAATTTTTGCTTGGGCGTTCTGGATAAAATTCTTACCCTTGAAATGTCATTGCATTGGCATGTATTTCTGGACCGCTGAAAATGAAGTGGTCTTGAATACATTTTCCAAGTTATGAAACATATAAACATTATAAATTTAATAGAACATAAGGCACTTCATTAGAAAGCTCAGCGCTATGATTCATGGTTCTTACCACTTTATAATTGTACTATATTCTCCACCCCTGCCTGTTTGCTGGGATTTACTGTCTCTGAAGGACAGCAGACTGGTAATGGGCCCATTCCTCAGTCACTGTGGTTCACATACTGGTGTGTTAAGATAAAATTGAAGTTGATGACAACTCTAGTGGGTCATTTAATTTGCAAACTGCAGCAACTAAGGAATAAAACACATGCCTGCCTTCCTCTCTGGCTATTCAGGCAAAACCTCTGACACAGGGCACACTGCAGTTCAGTCTCACAGAGATTCTGATTTAGAGAATTAGAGTAAGAAAAAACAGTATCATGTTTTAGAAAAGTGGACTTTTTAACAAGGAACCACTTTAAATAATGAGAATAACATACCACAGTATTTTATGTCTTGTTAGCACAATGTGGATGACATCTGCAAAAGCTGTAAAAAGCTTCTTTATCCTCTGGCAATCTATCTGCCATAAAATAGTAGTTTCATGTTTGGCTAGAACAAGCAAGAGTCGTCTTTTCATTTCATCCTAAATCTGGATGGAAGTTGAATAACAGAATTTTACCAGACGGTCTTCATAGAGGGTTTGCCACTCTTAAAAATACAGGAACCTCCTTCTGTTTCTGTCTCTAAATACCAGCCATTACTTCATAAAACCCAAGAATGTATAAAAATATGACCATACAGTAGTTATTTATAGAATTATAGAACAGTTTGGGTTGGAAATGACCTTTAAAGGTCAGCTAGTCCAACCTCAACTTATGTCAGAAGTTACCTACATTAGCCATTTAGCATATTCATTATTTTAAAGTAGAAGACAGTATAGAAATTTATTAATACTCTTCAATTATCACATGGGACTCACCCCTAATCCTAAAGACAACAAAAAGCTTTTTAAATGGCCGTTTGAGAAGGGGACCAAAAATCAAGTCTGAAAGTCTTTTTTAAGTCTAACAGGCATATTCATGGTGTCTCCCAGCGTCTGGGCATAACCATGGAATAAAGTAAGTAGTGAAAATATGCAACAGTTTTTGCATGTAAGTGAGGCAGACCAGCATCTGCTAGAGAAAGACCATCTCACAGTCTCTGACACACAGAAATACTGCTTGTGATTTTCTCTCTCTCAGTATGATTTTATGATAAATCTATATGTGAGATGTGCCTTAGTTCATGCTATGAAAGATGAGATGAATTGTTACAAGCTCATAAATACTCTTAAGTGCAGAGGTTTGAATGAATTATTTGCATCAACTGTACTGATGTTACATCAAAAATTATTGCAGACATTAGGAAAATAATGTTCCTGAACCTTTCAGCCCACCATGAGCGTGGGGAGAATGGAAGATTTTCAGCTTTCCAATTAATAGTCTAATGATGTTTTTATGAAAGCAAATGAAAAAGTACAACTATGGTTAGTGGTTCCAAACTGATTATTCAGGCTTTGTGCTGTAACCTTTTTGTAACCCTTCTGTATCTAGTCTCACTTCCTCTCTCCTGCTTTTTTTCCCCCTCCACTCCTCTTTCTCAATTTTGAACATGAGATTCTCTTCAGATTTTTAGTGTTTGTGGATTTGTGCCTTACTTAACCCATCCCTCAAGTACACAGGAACTTTTATGGGTCTCGAGAAGTTCCATGTGGTGTACACACCTGCTACCAGTCAAGATTCTTTAACAACTTGTAGGAGAATGACATCAGTCTAAACTATCTAGCACTTTTTGGAGATGTTAGCAGGCAGTGATGAAGCATGTCCTTTTCTGATAATAATATTAACTATAACCCATTAAAGAAAAAGCATGCCAGACTGCTGGGAGATAAAGAACTACCTCTTACTATTTCCTGGTGTGCTGTGATACAGAATATGATCTCATGTAGAAAAGTAGTAGTAGATACATATGAGGAAGATTATCTATCTGTTTCTCACATTTATATCTCCATGGGTCATGTTCCAAACATGATGCAGTAAACAAATCATGCTGACAGTTTTCTCCATTTCTGAATGATAAAATTAATGGCAAATCAATGTCAACAACGACATGATGTTACTTATTTGGTGGAAGTAGGCACAGCTCCTTTATCACTTCATACAAGCTATGGCACTGAACGTAACAATTTTTGTGCATTTGTGGTGGGTAGCCAACACAATTGGTGGGACCGGATGAGATGCATCTGCGTGTCCTGAGGGAACTGGTGGATGAAGGGGCTCAGCCACCATCCATCATATTTGGGAAGTTGTGGCAGTCCAGTGAAGTTCCCACTGACTGGAAAAGGGGAAACATAACCCCATTTTGAAAAAGGGAAAAAAGGAAAACCCAAGGAAACACAGGCCAGTCAGCCTCACCTCTGTGCCTGGCAAGATCATGGAGCAAATCCTCCTGGAAACTGCTGGGGCACATGGAAAATAAGGAGGTGACTGGTGACAGCCAACATGGCTTCACCGGGGGTAAATCCTGCCTGACAAATCTGGTGGCCTTCCACAATGGGGTTACAGTGTCAGTGGGTAAGAGAAGAGCAACTGATGCCATCTACCTGGACTTGTGCAAAGTATTTGACACTGTCCTGCACGACACCCTTGTCCCTAAATTGAAGAGCCATGGATCTGATGGATGGACCACTTGGTGGGTCAGAAATTGGCTGGATGGTCACACTCAGAGAGTTGTGGTCACGGCTCAATGTCCCAGTGGAGAGCAGTGACGAGTGACGTTCCTCAGGGGTCAGGGTTGGGACCGGCGCTGTTTAACATTTTTGTTGGTGACATGGGCAGTGGGATCGAGGCACCCTCAGCAAGTTCACTGATGACACCGAGCTGTGTGGGGCGGTGACACGCTGAGGGAAGGGATGTGCCATCCAGAGGGACCTGGACAGGCTGGAGAGGTGGGATGGGCAAACTTCATGGAGTTCAACAAGGCCAAGGGCAAGGTCCTGCCCATGGGTTGGGGCAATCCCAAGCACAAATCCAGGCTGGGAGAGGAGTGGATGGAGAGCAGCCCTGAGGAGAAGGACTTAGAGGCGTTGGTTGACAAGAAGCTCAGCATGACCAAGCGATGTGCACTTGCAGCCCAGAAAGCCAACCGTGTGCTGGGCTTCACCCAGAGCAGGGTGGGCAGCAGGGTGAGGGGGGGGATTCTCCCCCTCTGCTCTGCATTGTGAGACCCCCCTGCAGGTCTGGGTCCAGCTCTGGGGACACCAACAGCAGAAGGACACGGACCTGCTCGAGTGGGTCCGGAGGAGGCCATGAAGATGTTCAGGGGGCTGGAGCACCCCCTATGAGGACAGGCTGAGAGAGTTGGGGGGTTCAGCTGGAGAAGGCTCTGGGGAGAACTTAAAGCAGCCTTCCAGTACTTAAAGGGGCTACAGGAAAGGTGGGGAGGGGCTCTTTATCAGGGGGTGTAGAGACAGGATGACAGGTAATAGTTTAAAAGTGAAAGAGGGTAGATCCAGATTAGCTGTAAGGAAGAAATTCTTCCCTGTGGGGGTGGTGAGGCCCTGGCACAGGTTGCCCAGAGAAGCTGTGGCTGCCCCCTCCCTGACAGGGTTCAAGGCCAGGTTGGACGGGGCTTTGTGCAACCTGGGCTAGTGGAAGGTGTCCCTGGCCAGGACAGGGGGTTGGAACTGGGTGATCTTTAAGGTCCCTTCCAACCCAAACCATTCTGTGATTCTGTGACTAAAGGAATAAGCAATAAAACAATCAATAACCTGGGCATGTATTTGTATCAGCTGTTAGGTAATCAGAATTCTTTTAGATAGGCAGTGCAGTTTCCAATTAGTTCTGCCAGTTAACCTGATTGTCTGCTACTTTATGAAAGCCTGAGTTGCCTGAGCAGAACTTGTGATCAGTTATAGGGTGACCTCTTTACATAAGCATAGAGTTTGATTTTTGTGCCACTATTTGTTGCTTTGCGTCAATAGATCTATTTTCTAAAAGAGAAACAAAATAGGGGAATATAATTTTAATTGGCTCCTAAAATATATAATATTTGTGATTCTCATAACAGGAGGACTGTGCCATATGGGCTGTCTAACTACAGAGGCAGTTTTAGAGGCAAAAGGTCTACAGGCCAGATTCAAAGTACTTTGCAATCTTCATTTCGGTGTTCTTGTTTGGATGTGCATGACAAACAGTGTTTGCAGTTTTGCAGAAGAATGCAAGACAGAAGAAGGTGAGTATCTTTTCTTAATATGGCAGACTGTCTACATGATTTGACTCTTTCATGGAGATACTAAATTTGTATGTATCAAATGAAACAATTAACAAATATATTGATTTTAAATAAGATTCTTATCTTCAGTTGTGGTGGGTTTATCGAGGCCAGCAGCCGCTTGATCACACCCTTCTTAAGTGGGACGGGGGAGTGAATAGGAAGAAGAAAAGCAAGAAAACTCATGTGTCACAGTCAAGAGTTTAATGGGTGAAGGAAGGAGGCCAGAGACAGATAACTGCTTTGAATTCTATATTTGCTGTTTCTTTTTATGATGCATTTTTGAAACAGCAGATCTCCTGTCCAAGTAGGGCCATGCTTAATAGTGCATTATTTCAGAATGTTTTATCTAGTCTAATGGAGAATATGACATTGTCGTTTTATAAATGGCTTTGTAAGGGTAATTAATGAGAACACAGTGACAAACTTAGAAAATCTCTCTTCTTCAGAAATTATGGATCAATGAAAAAGACAGAGGAGAAAGACCAATGCAGGGAAGAGGAACACACTTTCATTCAGTAGCACAGAGAGTTCGGAGGATTCTGAACAGGCAGGTATGCTACAGATGTTTAATGTTGAAAAGAAATATTAATTTTCCATAAATTTAATTTGTATTTGCAGAACTCTAAATTCTTTCAACTGAATATTACCCCTTTTTGCTAAATAAGGGCATTATTTGGCCTATGATTTGTTTGTTGTTTTTTGAAAATTTATTTTTAAAAATAACTTTTAGTATACACAGAACTACTACAACCTTCTTTATGCTGATATAGTTCCTTCAAATGTTGGATTCTTTGGCTATAAGCCAATACATATTTTGGCAACAGTCCCTCCCTTTTTTCTTTTTTTAATTTTAGGGCAAGGGCTGTTCCTGTCTATCATCTTTTTGCTCATTTAGCACTGCAACAACTTAAGCTACATGTCCCAGTGCAGTAGTGCTTCAGTAAAACTTAAAATTGTCAAGGTAAAGTAACTGAACAAACTTTGTGGAAGAAGTATTTGGAGGGAAAAATAAATCTACTTTAGATGTCAGATATAAAGAGCTTAATTTGACCTAGTAGCCAGTTTCCAAAAGTTCCAGTTCCAAATCTACCCTCGATGCTGTTTCTACATACAAAATGTGCAATGATGTCAGGATAAGCAAATACTTGTAGTTCTGAGTAAAATGAAACAGCCATTGGAACTAGAAAAATTAAAAAGTAAAAAAAAAAAAACCTCAACCAAACAAAACCCAACAAAGTCACCCCATTACCCAAAATTTTTAGCTATGAAGGGAAGCACTTGGATCGGAAGTCCCCAAGCTGAATTTATTCTATGGTTATCTCATCAGAGATTGTGAGACAGCTGGGTGGCATTCACTCTGTGTATATATAATGAAGGAGATGAACCATAGTTCTATCAGGTAATAGCAAGTCAGTCTTGAATAATTAAGCAGTTTGTTTTGTTTTGTTTTGTTTTTAAAGCTTTAACGTTTATTTGCTGAAGCTCAGAAGCAAGAACTTAAACTACAACTCTCCCTTGAGATGGACAAACTTGATGCTTCAGTCTGATGCCAGTGGAGAATTCAGCAGTATGCAACACTTTCATTTCAACAATGCCACTTTGAGGGCATGTGAACCTGTATGAAGAAGCTTTCTCCCATGCTCCCCTCGCGAGAGTCTTAGTAAAGGATAATCTTTATCATGTAACCTGGCAGGGAATGTATCAGTATTGAAGAAAAATTCAAAGGCAGATCCAAACTTCAGCAACACAAAGTTTCAGGAAACGTTTTGCCTATGTGATTTTAAAAAGTACAATAGAAACATACTGTTCCACTTACTGCTTGCTGTATGTCTGAAAAATCCATCCAGAGCTTTATGCAGGCAACTGTAATTGGAGAATGATGAGTTAGAGAGAGATTGCCTATACATGAGTTCTCATTAAGAATAAACAGATACAAAATATTTCTCTTGTTAATGTATGCAAGCCTGAATCCTCATATTGTAACTTCGTGGCAGATGTTTAAATGACAGTATCTATGCAGAATAAATATGAATGGCTAATATAAATATTATTATAGACTATAGCAAGTTAAGAGTATACATTGAGTATTCAATAGATTACCTAATTTAGGCACAAATTATTCCTGCACTTCAAAATTCCATTCAGAAAACATTTACAGGGATTATTTAAGGATGCACTGTAGCTGATGAACAGAACTCCAATTATCCGTCCCAGAGAATTTCCAGAAGATGAAAGGGTAGGACTGTGGAACTTCAGATGAAACTTCATACAGTCAGAGTAATGTACTGTACTAGACCATTTGCTGTCCTAAGCCCCTACATACGTTATCGTCCACAGTACATGCATTTGTCTTTGCTAGTACTATAAACCACAGCTTCATCTCTTTATTGAAATATCATCACTGAATAACTTGGAAACTTGGCAATCAGGATCATGTCCAACCCTGGACATTTTTCAATGTAAATGATTTCTTCAGAAATTATGGACTGTTTTTTTTTTGCTAGGAGGATGCAAGAGTAAGCTAGGAAAAAAAGAGTAACTTTTGCAAATCCTATTCTGTATTATTTAAAAAGAAAAAGAGGAAATCCCTTACTTGTGACATTATAGATATTTTTTTGGTTTGACTGACTTTCCCCAGGGCACACAGGTTAAACTCTAACCCAATGACACTGAATTATGTTTTATCAGAAGAAAGATGGAGACCAAAAGAAAGATGAAAAGAAATTAATAGTAAAAATGGTTATATAGGCTTAAAACGGTGGTAATAGACTTTGTTTGAAACAAGAAAGGGAGGTCTTTGCCAAAATATATATGATATATTTTATATATTTGTGAATATATTTCATAAATAAATTATTATAGTTATAAAATTAAATATATGTTTCAGTTATTGCATTTGTGTCGGTTTCCTACTTGCTGTACAAATGATTTTGTACATTAATAGAAAATAGAGTATTTATTGTATAAAATCACTTCACATACTATTTTCTCATAATTTTAAAAAAGACACTGTATAGTTTTGGGGGTTTTAAAAATAATCAAGCTTTGTTATGAAGAATGCGTAATGTTCATTTATAACCACCAACTGGAATTTTTCCTCCCCCGAATGCATATGCCTAGGTCATACAAAAACTCGCCTTCTTCAGGAGACTGATAGGTCTCCTAACAGTTTGAGAATTGAGTATGAAAACGTAATAAAAAATTATTTGATAATAATTATGCATAAAAAGTTACATTACAGTTTTGTGTCCCTTTTGCTATAAAAGTAACCTTTATCTGGCCTAATCTGTATCCTGGGACAAACAAGGAGGTAATCGTCATTTGGAGTGTGAGCTCTTGTGACCAATGTTCACCCACTTCAGCTTCAGTCGTTATGTTACGTTTTTTTTTCCTGGAATTACAAACACGTCCCAGTGCTAACAAGGCTGCCAGTGCCTCCTCAGCTGATAACGATTCAGCTTTTAGATGAACTGCTCAGTCTATGTTTGGATTTCTACTGTCTTCCCCCAAGTGAATTCAATTTCACTGCTGCATTTGAAGATGGGTTCACACCTTCTCCAGTCCCACATGCTTTTGCTCTATTTTAAACGTTCACAGAAAAAAAAACCAACCCAACATCAAATTGGCTTCTTTCTTTGGCATTCAGGTAGATTTAGCTGTTGAGTAGTGGGCTACAGGTGTTATGCCTTTTCCTCAAGAAAAAAAAAATCCAACTTTTTTCTGTGCGAATTCCACTCGCAAGTAGTTTGGTTTTGGGACTCTGCACAGTAGCTGAAAACTTTGTGCCAATGTACCACTAGCAGTTAATGTAAAAATCAGTCCAGCATCAATACAGCAAAAGAAGGAAAATGAGAAATAACTGTTATATCAAACCCAGAAAAGAGAAAGTTTACTGTAGGTATCTCCAAATAAATGTAGAAACCACAGCAAATACCTGAATATTTTATCTCCTGGGTTCTGAGGCTGAACTACCATTATTCTGTCTGGGAGTAGATAACAGACACAAGATTGTTTTGCCTAATTTAATGTGTTTATAGAAAATGTCACCATTAATATTTCTAAGCTCTTAGGGACTCAGTTTACCTATTTTAGATGTGTATCTAGAAGATGTTAAGCTAATGTGAAGCTAATGCTTTAAAAATTATACACCAAATTAATTCCATACACAACTAGTGATTTTTTTTAAACTAAGAAACAACTCTTAAAATGTAATAAATCATAAAAACATTTTTTGCAGAAGTTAGAAATAAAAGTTCTTTCAACATGTAACATTAGCGTAGTTAGGTGTACTGCAGAATTATTTTTGATCTGGGATATTATTTCGAGGACACTTGGGTTTGCTTTTATAACAGCAAATTAGTTCTGGTTCTTACTCTATTCCATGCACAACTATTTATGTTTAACTCTGCTCTAATTCTGTCAGAGTTGCATAGCTCTCATTCTAGTTGCCATTAATAAAAGTTCACTTTCCAGTTGTTAATATCTGTAAGAACAATAAATGATCAGAAGTCTAAAAAAAATGTAGAAGGGAGATTTGGAAGAATTTCAGTTTTTTAGCCTACAAAGGAGAAGGAAGAGAGATGTGAATGTAGTTGTCAAATGCAAAGGGCTGTGACAGAAAGGAAAGCAGTATTTTGTTCCCAGAAGGAAGCACAAGACGTAGGGGGCTTACATTACAGCAGGGATGGGTAAGTGCCATGAAGACAGTGGTCTCCACCGCCACCTCCTACTCCTAGGCTGTGCCTTGTGAAAAGCATAGGCTTTGGTGTCAGAGTCTGCGGGCTGTCAAAGCTGTGAGGGTGAAGGGCTGTATCTTCCTACAGAGGTAGATGACTGTTCCCTGAGCAGAGCTAATGTCTTGTTTCCTGTACATTAGAATGGCTCCTTGCTTGCTGTGCCAGCTTTTGGGGATACCATTCTTTTGCTTCTAATTCTTCCCACATACTGTAAAATGCTTGTCAAACCTGGGAGTCAGGTTCTTCTGTAGATCCTCCTTCTGTTATGTCAATATAGGGATGACAAAATAAGGCATGTAGGAGGAAAAGAAACTGATTTTTAGTTGGCTTCACCAGGAAAGATGTTTCATTTTTATAAAAAAATCTACACAAATTAAAATAGACTCTTGATTTATTCAGTTACCCTCACCCTTACTAAGGGTTTTTTGGTAACACACTGAAGTCTACCAGATACATGAGTGGGAGAAGGTGATATATTTTTAGGGTTATATTGTCATACAGGCAGAAGTAATTTTCTCTTGGCTAAACCATCAGGACTTAAACTATTCCTCATCTGCTTTAAAAAATGTGGTAAATGGTATTTACTATATCCTCCAACTATTTATTAAAGACAGCAGAACAAAACATTTTTTTCTGCATAATAAAACATGACACTACTGGCATGATGTGCCAGCAGAGGCTGAATTCAATGCTGTTGATGGTTTTAAAATCCCCAAGTTTGACATCTAAGCCTTTCTCTCTCACAAAACACAGCTGAGCAAAAAGAGCTTGTAAGAATTTCTCTTAGTACCAGAAAAGAATGCAAGTGTTACAGGCACTATAATACTCTTTTCATAACGACCAAAAGAAATGGCGGCGACAGTTCTGAAATGTGTTCTTAGATCCACCCTGAATACTTTTAGATACCTAGCCCTTAAGCCTGAAAGATGTTCCCATTGGCAGCATCTAGCATCTTTCACACATATGCAAGATGTTGCTTTTAGGAGTGGTTTTTCAGAACAGCTAGGCAAAAATAACTCTGATGTGAAAGATTGCTGAGGGCAATCGTGACAATTCTGCTCAAGGTGATTTAAGATGACAAAATGTTTGTGTCTTGATAAAAGTAAAATACAGGCTAACATAAGACTGAATAATGTGGCTGAAAGTTATTGTTAGAAAAGGAACAAATTCTAGCCTTATGAACATTAAACATTTAACTGCACAGCTTGAAATCTATTGGAATAGCAATCAAGCAAAATTGTAAACAGATGAGATTAGAAACAATGTCCGTTTTCACTACTAGAGTTTTACAATGAAAAGGATGTACTTATAACCTCATCTGGAGAGCTTTATGCTACAAAGAAATGTCAGGATTGAGACTTAAAATACTTTGAGCAAGTTAAAGAAAGCATATTGAAACTTCTGTTTACCTTGCAGCATTATCATGCTAAACTTTGTTTAAAAGCATGTTTAAAAAAGTATTTTGACTTCCAAGATTTCAGAAGTGCTTCAGAAGACGAGTGTGCCTTGATTAGTGCTCCAAAGGTCTCTCTGTAGCCAAGTGACCCTTGCTATCGTAGCACATCTGAGTTTCTACAGAGGCTTGGGATGAGGTTCAAGTCTCAGCTCCTGTTCTGCGGTGGGCAATACCACACTGAATCCTTGGGCTCTTAACTGGGTTTTAGTCTAGTCACGCCCGTATCCACATTGAACGCTCCTTCCCATAGCTGGGTCTTCTAGCTTAGTTCTCATGTCAACGTGATCCTTACCCATTTCGTAACAGACCAGGTTGCTAGTTATTTCCTGTATGCAGCGTGTTTAGAAATTAGGTAGATATGTACGTCCATCTAAAAACCCCTTCTGCACCTCTGTGTTTCTGTAGGCATCTGAATATCTTTACCGTGTGCTATCATTCAGTCGTCAGCAAATGGCTACCTTGACTCAAACTTCCTGCTGATGTGTCTATCAATGGAATTGTATTGCCTCGCAAGCACCGAGTTCTAGCCCCTTAACAATATAATCAGCAGTCTTTGGCATTTAAACTCCGTTTTTCCTCTGAGTATTTTAAAATCCTATACAGACAAGATAATTTAGATACTAAAGGGCTAGTACACTAAACAATGACATAATCTTAGCGACGATGAGAATTTCCTTTTTACTGATTATAATGGATATTCCATTAGACAACAAATCACATTTATTATTTCTGTTAAAGCTGTTTCTCAGAGTGTAAACCAGCTCTCCCAGTGTGTGTTTATTCATTTAATGAATGGTAATTTTGTCATACTTGTCCAGGAATTATTTGTTCTATTGCAATCAGTTAAATAATTTTCATTTTTATTTTCATAGTTCATTTTGATTTAGCTGTCTTATTTTTATAACTACTTCCCTCACTCCTCCAAAGAATTGACTAAGAAATTTGAAAGTGCTTCAGTGTCTCACTGTGTTTCCCTTCTGTGTTCCAGGCCTGTCAATCTATATTGCTCAAGAGGTGACCTGCCTTTGCTTACCAGTGCACGGCGGGCCCTAGCAATGCAAATACTTTCAGTGCGGATGTGAAGAGGGTTGGAGGCTTTTGTCATTAAAAATAAATGTGCAAACTATCATAGAATTATAAAATATATATTGAATGGCTAGTAGATTAGGTGAACTACACAACCAGGATAAAGCAGATGTAAAAATCAAAGCCCACAGGCTCTTTTAGAAGATCCCTGGAACTGTATTTATGCAATTCTGATACCAGTAAGATGCAGTTCCCAAAATAGGTGGTTTTTAAACCTCTACTTTGTTTCCCTATATCTATCACAGAAGAGAATTCTACTAATTTCACAATGAAGCCAGTTTACAGCTCCTGGTGTCAGTTTGGATAGTCATGGGTCAGCTAAGGGTCACGTTTTCACTGTTGTTAAAGACACTGCAGTTAAGACCCAGATTGAACCTAAGCATTTGAATTCCTAAATGTAAAAACCCTTTCTTTATACAAATCTGATAATGAATTAAAACATTCAAAACACCTGTGCCAGATCCTGAGGTTTGTATTTGATTAACGTACTTTCTTTAAGCAGAGTTCCAAACAGATTGGATAATTTCACTCTATGTTTGGAAAAGCACAGAAAAAAAAAAAAAAAAAAAAAAAAAAGAAAGAAAGAAAATTTAAGGAGAGGAAATCCGGCATTGGAGTTCAGTAACCCCTGAATCATAGTTCTGATTCTGCTACTATCTCATTGTGGGATCTTGGGCAAATTACTTAGGTCCTTATTGCATACACTAACACAAGAGCAAGACCAAAGGCATGGTCCATGGCAAGATCCCTACAGGCCCAGCCCTAAGCCTTGTTTCTCTCCAAATAACAATTTGAACATGTGAAGGATCAATATCTTTTCGTGGAACTGTCACGGTACCCTCTGAACATTTTCAAGGAATTGGTCACCTGTTGCCTACCAGGGGGAAAAAAAAAAAAAAAAAA